GTGCATGCTGTTACGGTATTAATTTGCCAAATTAATTCTACCGCCAACACTATGCCAACCATGTGATTTGTACTATATAATCTACCCAATAGCATCTCATGTGCCTGAACGTACTAGAGCAGACTTTGAATTCTGTCTGTCTATCCACCCACATGATCATATATGATCTGCAAATCTGAACTAGGATTATGATCTGGCATAATATGTGCATAATTTGTGATTTTTACTATTGTAACTCGGGAAATTCGATCATCAGAGGTTTAATTTTTGTTGATTTCAGTTGACTTCACATGCAGAAGCCGCAGTCGTGATGATTGATTTCTATCTTTAGTTTTCCCGGCAATTAATTAAACTTATTGCATTTATTACCCTTCTAGTACTTATAGTACTTATTGTATTTGCTGCATTTCTTAAAGATAGTAATATGAGATAAGTGATTGAAAAAGATTTCAGCAATATAATTAATTTAGAAGATTTCTGGGTTATATATGGGCTGCTGTTAATAGAAATCAGACAGATCTACATTTGAAAAAAATCAATGCCTTAACTTTCATGGCTCATATCTCGATAAATTTTAAAGATATATTGATGCTTTATTATTCAAAATAAAGCTTAGATCATAAGCTTTCTTTTAAATATTAAAACATCAAGATTGCTTTAAAATTCATCGAGATATGAGCCGTGAAAGTTAAAGTATTGATTTTTTTTCAAATGTAGATCTGCCTGATTTCTATTGACGGCAGCCTATATAATTAAAGAGTTTTATTCATTTTCTTTATTAAATTATGCTGCTTCGCTATATGTAAAATTTGTTTATAAATAAAGGGTCTTTTGTCCAGTTAAAAAAATATTGTTCAATCAATACAAATAAAAATCTATTGAATTATCTATTACACATTGTATACAAATTCGCCAATTTCCTAACCTGATCCTATTGTTAATAGGATCTTTGTTGCTTGTTTCTTTAATAAAAACTATATCATTATACTGTCTGATTTTATCTCTGATAGGTAATTTCATATCATTGTTGGACTACTTACTCCAGTGCCATTGGAATTATTGTGTTGTATCTCTAAGGGTTGAGGATACTTGATTTTCTTGCTTGGTTCCAGAAGGTTAGTTATTGTTTCAATGTTGACCGTTACAGATATTGCTTGAAGGATGACCGAAGCCTTAGAACCATTCCACTATTCAAATCTAAATACCTCTTTCGATACCTTGTCTTGGTTGTTGTTTTGCGTTTTTAGTTGATTTTAGTTTAGCTTAGTACGTCACCCTAGCTCTTATTTTTCAGCTAACAATTTGGTAGTGACTGTGAGATCTGGCACCCCATAATTTTGATACTTTTCTCTTTAGTTTTAGTTATAGTTTTAGTTTTGATAATTACTGTATTTTTAGTTTAAGCACTAGCAGTCTTAATTCCCATAGTTTAGTTATTATAATGATCATAAAAGATTTTAGCATTCGTGATGCTGATCTCCTCCTTGATAAAGACGAGGTTGTTGAAGAGGTTCAGGTACCAGTAGAGGATGGAGAACCACCAGAACCAGATGATGTTTGTGAAATTTTAAAGCAGATTGTCAGAGCCTTCAAGAATGTAACTAAAAGGTCTTCCTATTGAGAAACTAATTGGGTACAGGTCAAGCCATTCAAGGGAGAAGAGAACAAAGACCCCATTGAATGGATTGAGGTCTTTGATCATGCTGCTGATGCCAATAATTGGGTGGAAATGTGAAAAATTAAGATTGCATTGGGTTATTTGTTTAAGATTGCAGCCAATTGGTATAAGGAGAAGAAGAATGATTTGCATCATTGGGATAATAATAATGATCCAGGCACTAGTTTCAAGAAGCAGTTCATTGAGTACTTCACCATGTCAGAACATTGCTATAAATAGCAGGTAGATTTGGATAACCTAGAGCAAAAAGACAATGAACGAGTGAACTTCTTTGCTTACAAGTTTAAGCACCTGTTATCCAAAGTTGACTCCAACAAGAGTATACCAGCCCTATATGTTGTCAGGATGTTTTTAAAAGGGCTAAAAGGAAATATTGCAGCATTGTTATTCCTTGCAGAACCAAATAGTTTGGATAACACCATTGTGGTGGCCAGGAGAATTAAGCCGGTAACTATTATGAAGAGAAAAGAGAAGCTAGATCAGTTTTGAGAATGGAGAAAGAATTAGAAGACTTGACGGATAAACTGAAACAAATTGCTGCAAGTTATGAAAAACTTATCACTACTCTAGTAGCCACCATGATCCTACTCAGAGACCACCTGGGCCCAAAATCCTAAGATTATCTGCTTTAATTGTGGAGAGCAAGGAAACATTTCTAGGAATTGTCTTTCCAAAAGAAAAATAATTGACCCAAAGAAATCAACCCAGCCCCTTCAATACTTTCCCGGTCTGGTAATATTAATTACTGTGGGATTGATGCTCAAATTGAACGTGAGGTGTTAGTTAATAGCCAAGTTCATTATCAGCCCTATTCTGGGTTCAAGAAAGAATGGCCCTTAAATAAATCTGAATCACACTGGAAGGAACATCTAAGAAGAAGGGACCCAATAGAGCAGCTATAGGAGCTTTTGCCCATGGAAGAGGAATTAATTCTTTTTGAAAACCCAGAAGTAGTTTGTCCCCAATTTAAGAAAGGACCCTCAGTAGTGGACAATCTTGAACCATATAATATTGTTAAAAACATACTGAGTACCCAAGCTAATACTACTCTTGGGCAAATGCTGAATATTCTAACCAATATCATCATTTGGCTCAAGCCCTATGTCGTCCAAGAGTGCTGGTAAAAACTAATTATACTCAATCTAAGGTAGAGCTGAGAACTACAGCTATTAGGTACTATATAAAGGTAAAAGATAACCCAGTGGTAGCTATCTTAGATACTGGGGTAGCCGTTAGTTTAATTACCAAGTCTCTATCAGATAAACTTGAATTAAAAATAGACAGGCCGTCTAATACTGTCGTAATTACTGCTACCGGGGCCTGGGAGTGTATGTTAGAGAAGATAGAAGACTTAAAGATGGTTGTCAGTAGTATACTAGTACTTATTACCTTTCAGGTCATTGAATCCAAAGATGAAATATTGCTGTTGGGAACAGATTAGTTCCGCAATGCAAAAGCCTGGTTGCATTTTGATAAGGAGCGGTTATATCATATATACCAGGGTAAGACCACTTGGGTTCAAATTTTACATGTAGGAGAATATCAATTAATTAGACCAGAGGATGATGAAAGTGATGGAGGAGATACGTTTGACGAGTTTGAATTTGAGGATGAAATGCTAGAAGAAGCTGAAGGGTATTATACTAGCAAAACAGTAGAAAAAGGAGTAGATTTGAATTAGCGTAAAGATTTTGATGATGGGGTTGTAACTATAGAGTAAGTCCCAGTAAGGCATTCAAACAAAAAAGTAGTTGAAGAAAATAGGGTAAATAGCTAGAGAAATTCAATCGTAAAGTTGATAAAGGAAGGAGAAATTGAAGTTGAAATGGAAAAGCGGGCAGAAAGGATATTTGAAAAATTTGAACATTTATTTGCAATGGGGTTTAATGACTTAGATCAAACTAATGTAGTCCAATATGATATTGATACTAGTGTAGCACCTCTGATTAAGCAAGTAGCATATAGGTTAGCCCCAAGTGAGCAAGAGTATTTAAAGAACGAGGTTCAGAAAATGTTAGCTAGTGGGTTGGTAAGGGAGTCCTATAGTTCCTGGACGTCTCTTGTCATTTTGGTTCTCAAGAAAAACAGTCAACTTTGAATTTGCATAGATTATCAAAAGTTGAATGCAGTAACCAAAAAGGATGCCTACCTGATTTCCCGCATTGATAATATGTTGGAGACATTTGGTAAGGCCTCCTGGTTTTCTAGTCTAGACCTAGCCAGTGGTTACTGGCAGGTTTCTATGTCTCCACAAGACCAGGAAAAAATAGCTTTCGTTACTAAGTTTGGGATATTCAAATTCAATGTTATGTCATTTGATCTATCTAACACCTAGCCACATTCCAAAGACTTATGAATAAGATATTGAGGGAATATATTGAACACTTTGTCACAGTATATCTCAATAATATCACCATATATTCTAAGACCTTCCAAGAATATTTAGAACATTTAGAGAAGGTTTTCGCTAAGCATGAGGAAGCTAAATTGAAATTGAATAGTAATAAGTATCATCTTCTTAAGAGGACACTTAAGTTTCTAGGACATACTATAAGTAAGAAAGGGGTCTAGCCTGATAATAATAAGATAATTAAAGTCTAAAAATTCCCAGTACCTACGATCCTTTGACAGTTAAGAGGATTTTTAGGGTTATTCTCATATTATAGACATTTTATTAAAGGTTTTGCTTCTATTGCAAAACCTTTACATCAACTATTGGAGAAAGATGTTCCTTATATATGAAATAAGCCCCAACAACAAGCCTTTAAGATACTTAAAAACATTTGACTTCGGCATCTATATTAAGGTATCCAAATTTTGACCAAAATTTTTATTTGCATGCAAATACATCCAGAGTAGGTTTAGGGGCAGTGTTAACTCAAAAGGATAAGAAAGGTTGAGAACATGTGATTGCCTATACTAGCCAAAGTCTTAGTAGGGCAGAACAAAACTACTCTACCACAGAATTGAAATGTTTGGTGGTAGTTTCGGCATAGAGTATTTCCATCATTACTTAGGCATTAAGCCTTTTATAGTGGTTACGGACCATTCGGCTCTTAAATAGTTAGAAACCTCTAAGTTAAAGAGCAGAAGAGCCCAGTGGATTCTTAGGCTCTAGCCTTATAATTTTAAAATCGAACATAGGAGTGGAAAAGCCTATTCTAATGTGGATACTTTATCTCACCTTCCGGAGTTGATAAACAGTAACCCAGTTAAAATTTTTAGGTTAGAAATCGATTATAATGACAATACTGAGGAAGAATTAACTGAGGAAAAATGGTTCACAGAGGAGGATTCAGATAGTAATGATTTATCAGTAGAAATGAATATTGAAATTAGTGAAACTTATAATAGGTGGCCTGACAAAGAAGAGGTAGTTAATTATGCAAGAAGGGAGTGAGAGTATGAAGAATTGTTAAACAATTTTAATGAAGAGTTAGGAAGAAACTTGAATTGGTATAATTATGGGAACTTTTGGAGTGATAGGTGAGAAAGTGAAGAGGAAAATAGCCAAGTGTTGTCCCCTTTAAATGAAGTATATATGGTGGATGATTTTAATTCCATAAAAGGTAAAGAAAAGTTTTTGATATCCATGTTTAAGATGAATTGGGAAATGGTGCCTACAAGACCTCCAACACCTGAAAACACTATAGAGGACATGAAAGAGGAAGGTGTCGCTAGTAATGAATCAAGTAATGAGTCAGATACTTCTGGGTGACTCCCTAACTTTTACTTAGGGTCCAGAAAGTCTTGGTGAAATATGAATGACAAAAGAAAAAAAGAAGTATTATTGAATTATACTTTAATGAGTTTCGACTCCTATAAAATAGAGATTGAGAAAATAAAACCGGATCCTGCGGACCAGATAAAACAGAAAGAAAAGTTAATAGACGAGTTTATCCAATAGCTAAAGAACGAAGAAATAGAAACCCCTAAATCTGATAATATCAATCATGGGGACGAAGTAATTGGTATTGAAAAAGATAAACTAGCAGCAAATATAAATGGGCCTAAATATGTTCTAGTAATTCTCTTTAATAAGATGACCTCAAAAAGGTGGCAAAAGCTAGTTTTTTGTGGACAAGTCCTCCATTATGGTACCAAATTCTTTTTTTATGATCACCCCACTTTTCATAACCATATCACTACTAAAGAGCTTAATTTAAGAGAAGCAATCTATTGGGCTGACTTTTGTAGTTACCCCTTGATTGCTAATGACTCTGCTGACTTGGTTAAGTTAAATAGACAAATGCAGGATGTGGCCTGGCAAAATAAAGCCAGACAACAATTCATCCAACAGGTCGTGATCAACTCAGGGTGTGATTGTAGGCTTGTGGATGATAATGGTATTCTGATAGTACCTGTAGAAGTAGAATTAGATTAATGAATAGACACTTTTAAATTAGTATATAATCAAAAAAAAAAAACTCTATGTACTTAGAAGTTCTTATCTCAGGGCCTTCCTATAATTATATTTTAGTTTTTTTTTGTAATTTAAAGATTTCGTAATGCAGATCTAATATTAAGAATAAATAGTTAGGATGGAGTAAAGCGAGTTGGGGCTCTATTTGTTTGAGAAAAAGTCAATGAAAAATTGACTCATAAAGGATCAATTGCTGATTAAAGTGATAGATTAGGAAGTGTCCAATAGGGACTAAGCTCGGGAAATCAAAGTGGGATAATAATTTAAAATAACACATATTGGAAGAAATTGATGGAAACTTAATTTTTGATTTGTGTGTAAATAAATACTAATGTTAAGAAGCATTTATCTGCTATCAAAAATCTTCTGAGAAAATACATAGTGAATGACTATAAGAATTGGTTAAATGAAAATAATAGTGCCATCGAGATAAATCGATGAGTTCTAAGAGTTAGGGATGGCAATAATTAAGAATACATCCACACTATTGGAGAATAGTGTTATAGCATACCCAAAATCTTTTAAAGATGTTAAAGAATCTGAACATTGTTTGAAGCAAATATAACCTCTATAGTATAAACAAACTATAGGAAGAATCCTCTTTGTTAAGTAATTCAATGCTGTAAATCTGACAGTAAACGAAAATTCTGCCCAGGTAGTTGGTGTCCTGGCATAGGGTAAAGTAATATAGATCCAGAAAAGTATAACCAGCTAAGACGATATTTGCAAGACCGGTATATAGATTCAAAATTGTCAAAAAATGAAAGAAAAAGACTTATAAACAATGGTCAGTTGTTCTTTTTAAAAGATAGAATAGTATTCAGAAACAATAGCAGAAACTCTAATAAGCCACTAAGAGTTATCCAGACCCATAAGGTAGAGCCAGCCTTATTTTTGGTCCATGACTATTCCTTGGGGGCCATTTTGGAATAGAAACCATGTTTGAGAAGATAAAACAATTATATTATTGGCCTCAATCTTATAAATGAATTAGAGAATACGCCAGGTCTTGTAATCAGTGCCAGCGACAGAGAAAACCTTGAGTGATTTCTCCTTTATATTCTATACCAGTGGTAGCCCCTTTTTATCGGGTTGGTGTAAATATCATGGGACCATTACCAATAACACCAAGAGCTAATTGATGTATAATAGTTGCTACAGATTACATAACCAAATGGCCAGAGGCCAGAGCCACTAGTTTAGCAACTGCTCAGAAAGTAGCCAACTTTTTGTATAATGAAATAGTTTGTTGTCACGGGTGTTCTGAGATTATATTATCAGATTGAGGAACTTATTTTCATAATAAGTTAGTTTGGAAATTACTAGAAAAGTTCCAAACTAAGCATATTCTATCAATGCCATATTACCCTCAAACTAATGGGCTGGTAGAGCGATTTAACTGAACCCTGTGTAAATCAATTGCTAAGACTATTGAAAGTATTATGGATTGGGATCTAATTATTTCTTCTATATTATTTGCCTATCATACTTTCAGATATTTCATTACAAGAATTATACCATTCTATTTAACATATAGACATGAGGCTAGACAGCCCATTCAATCAAAAGAAATTGGAGATTTAAATAGAGAAAATATTCTTCAACAAACCCGAGAGCTGATAGAAAACCTGCTATCAATTCGCCAAGCTGCTATTGTACAAGTCCAAAAAAGCTCAGAATAGCTCTATAATAGAAAAATTCAAAAAATTACTGAATTTAGTATAGAAGATAAAGTTCTATTGTATCGTGCTGCTCAACAATATAATCGAAGCATGAAATTAGAGCCAAAATAGGAAGGACCCTTCTATGTCCATCAGGTTTTTAATTAGAACGTAGTAAAATTACATACTTTGGCAGGGCAAGTCATTTTAACCTCTATCAGTATTAAATTACTAAAATAATACTATGATTATTAGGGAATTAATATAAGAGGAAGTACATTAAATTAGAGTGTGGAATATAGTAGGGATAAAAAAAATTGCTCAGTGTTTTGAGTATAGGTGTGATAAAAAAAAAAAAAAAAAAAACAAAAAAGAGAAAAATTTTACCATTATATAAAGAGGGTAATTAGCTTAAGAATTATAGAATCTCTCTCTTTGTAATATTAAGAAAATGCTTACTATTACAGTAGTAGAGATAATTGCTGATATCATAGACAGACATTCGTCTGATTGGCTGATGTAAATCAATTGCTGGGTAACTTATTTATACAGTTTAAAGTACTTTTTGAAAACGTAACGTTTCACTACAGCACTAATAAAAAATCACCGC